AAAAAAAAAAATGCTCCTTCAAAGGTTCTTTTCAATGCCTTAAAGGCCATCTCAATCTCAAGCTCTACTATTTGAGCATTTCGACATTTATGTCGATTTTTAATATATTTGTTTTATATAAACTTAGTTATACATTGTTTACTTATTGCTACCACTTTTTGTTCATTCTCTTACAGCATCACCACAAAAATGTATGCGAATGATGCCTTTGTGCCGGACAATCCTTCGATCGTTACCGTTGAATTGAATGAGGAAGCTTTGGCGCGAGCCGCACGCATGTCTACTGATATTACCGAAATGGGTGCACGCTTCCGTAATATAGAATCCTTCCAGCAGTATCCACCACCGCGATTCAACAACAACAACAACAACAACAACAACAACACTGCAAATAATAATTTCATCAAGCAAGTATCGATTAGAGAGAATGGCATTTCTACATCTCCTACAACTCCAGGAGTGATGTCACCTTTCCCAGCGCCCGACTACACTCCACCGATGTCGCGTTCAAATAACGTTGCTATGCGCAATGATGCGGGGCGTTACCAGTGATTGCGTTTGCATCCAATTAAATTAAATTAAATTAATTTATAAGTGCCATTGTTAGCTTCATTCCTTAAGTTTTAAAAACGCACACATACATATTTATACATACTTAATAAATACAAATATCCATCGCGTGCTGCCCAGCGTTCACTTATAGTTGAACGCCGCCATTGCAACTCGCTCTCTAAATCTGCTTATCTCTCTTATCATCCACGCAAACTCGGTCACAACTTCCACAATACCTACATAGTATTTATGTACTTCTGCACTATATGCAACTTTTTTTTTAGCAAATCATTAATGCACAACAATTAATTCTATTTTTAGCATTTATTAATTGTATATGTATTTTTCTTCATACAATTGCATGTGAATAATAAATATGCGTTACTGTATATACAAGTAAAACAGTCAGATTATATATCGTGGAGATTTAAAAGTAGTGATCCATTTTACAGGGTTAGCTACTTCTTGTTTCCGTACATATTTTGTCAATCTACGCTTTATTGCCACTTCAACCGCCTAATTTTGGCCGCGTCCAAAACAGCACGCCAGTCGTTTCTTTTCTACCAATTGACGCCAAAGGGAAATGCCAAGTCCTTCTCCACCTGGTCTTTCCAAGGCCTTCATCTGTTACCAGTAACACGACCCGCGGTGAATACTCTCAGAGCTGAGCGTTTCTTTCCATTCAACCGGAGCTTCTACCTCCGATTTGTGCTAATCAGACATTGAGCAACCGACCCTTAACCTAGCCAGCGAAGCCGCTGGATTTTAATTCGCTGCACAATATCTCTATGCCGTTGTAAAGCTCATCGTTAAATCTGCGATATTCGCCATTGCCATGAAAGTAGGGTTGGGACTAGCCTAGTATTCGGATATCCGCGTATTAGGGTATCTGAATGCTCAAAAAAGCCGGATAGAACTCTCATCTGTATACAAGAAAGGCATTGCTGCGAGCTTCGCTGTATGAATAAATAGGCGGAAACTTGCACCGTAGTAATATGATTACTTTCCATCTCTGAAGTTTCTTGACGGTGTAAAGTTGTCTCCAAAAGAGGATTATTAAAACGGCTGGGTTATTTTTCCCCCAGAAATTCGCAAAGAAGCAAAATAATAGCTCTGATCCAGTACTCCATGAACGTACAGGTTTTTACACGAACTTGCAGGAAGTTACAGGAAAATGATATTTCAAATTCCTCCAAAAATCCTGCAAATGAGAGCGATTTTTGGAGAGTTATGTAGAGAATGAAGTTGCAAGATTTTACCCGAACTTGTTCTTCTGGTAAAATATTGAAAAGTCTCAAGCGTTCACGGGTTGACGTCTTTACAGGAAAAATGCTTTTTTTGTTCCCGGGGTTTTTGTTTGTTACTAACTTCTTACTCTCATTTCTGAGAGTAATTTTGCTGTTTGACATTTTTACAGGATTTTACACGAAAAGTATTGGATCAGAACTAATATTGATCCATGTTATTTGAATTTTCAAAATGTTTTAGACGAAGTTATACCGCTCATTTACTAAAAGACGGTCATCAATCAAAAAACGGTATTTTTCAAGAGACGCGTTTAAAGTTTGCAATTTTCTCAAAAAATACAAAAAAAAGCTTGGACCGAAAATAATCGATCATCGATTCAAATCATTAAAAATATATTTTTATTTTAATTTTCCAAACAAGAATGACCGTTAAATTTGGATTTTTTTTTGACGATCATATTTAATCGCTGTTTTGTGAGTTTTATTATTTTTTTTTCGATCAAATATAATCATTATTACCTTTTGTGATTTTTACTTTTTCAACAGGTCAATTGCTCAAAAATATCGTTTTTTGACTGATTCGTCGAATAGATAGTGCTACTCATAAAAAGTCTTCAATTATTATTTTTTAACTTAATTGTAAAACTTTGTACACTTAATAATCGGCATTCACTACTCCATGCCATGCACATCTCTAAAATATTCATCTAAAGTTTAGATTCTAAACTCATCTTGGACGTGCCATTGTCAACATGAAAGGTATGTGTGTATTTTAGTTCGTTTTGTTTTTTTTTGTAAACAAATGCAATTTAAAAATTTCCACAGTTGTTGTTTTATATGTATGTACATATGCACTGCCATGACATGGCAATACTCATAGACCAGCTGATAAGACGATTCAGCCATTGACGGCGGCCCCCTGCAAAGAGGAGATAGTTTTGCGATTTTCAATTTGATCATTATGAGATTATGACCAAGTTGTTCGTTATCAAGATAGGTCACACGTTTATATGTAAGTATGTATGTACTGTTTGTATTTACATAGAATAGTAGTTCTTTCCCACACAGTGAAAAATATGTCTTATAAAATTTAAAGGCGGATTCGTCGTTTCGTTCAGAACTAAAACGTTCAATCCGCCTTAAAAGATGAACGACGAAAAAAACTAAGAAAATTCCGTAGAAATTTCGCATTGTGTTTTCGTTTATATAACACTGCCTTCTCCCTAGCTTTTGTTTAAAGAGGACAATAAAGGATCATCTTTTGGTAGAATGGAAAACTTGTATCATAGATTTTATCTAAACATGCTATTTATTTTATCTTACTGGACATATTCGTGAAACTATGGCTAAGTTATAGTATAACTGCGTACTTAGTTTTTATCTCTGACGTCAGGTTTTCTTTTTAAAGGACTTTGAAATTAAAAAATATGATTATTTCAAAAAATTATTTAAAAAATTCAGTGTAATGTAGTATAACAATAAGGGTATCATTACGGTAACCATTCGTACCGCTTTTGGCGGGACAGTAGAAAAAATATAACCCTATTTTTTTATTTTGAAATCAAAGCGTTTAAAGTTTTCCATGTTTTTGATAAGGGGAAAATCAACTTTTCGTAGATATGGTATGGAATTCTTGAAAATCAATATTTTTCGACTCTGGTTCTCTTCAGGAGACTTCCCATAATAATACCCAATTGTTTATTTAATCTTTTTTTTTTATACTAACGAT